CACAGTTCCCATGGTGGAGGCCGGGCCTGGGCAACCCAAGAGGCAGCCCAGTGGATGGAAACTTAGTATATCAACGCCCGCGAAATGCAAGTTTGCAAATTTTGTTTTGATCAACTTGCAAGGTTAGAATACCGCCGTCGACTGCAACCTGACCCTGCCACATCCAGAGCTTGCATCGAACCATTATTGAACCAATTTTGTTTGCAATGCTGTTTTTGATTCATTGACACATGGAGACTGAGAACGATGCAGGTAGGAGCATCAAAGAGGCATGGACGTCAACACAGTTAGTTGGTAGGCAGTTGCTCTGAGCCAGGTTGGACGTCAACAAACCCAAAGATGCGGTTGAGGCTGATGAATGGAACAACCCTACTCCTGCCGCGGTCTTTTGCGTGATTGCATCAAGCATTGAATGGCCAGGGGCCTGCCATGATGTGTGAGCTAGCTGAGGCCCCAGCACCATCGTTACAAAGGCAGGGGATGTAGTGCACTGGCAGGTGGAGCACAATGGGGAAACACATCATTTGTTTTCCATGCCCTTCTTGGATTGAGAAACCTTGGGTGCCGCAACTATTCTGGCGCTGGAGTTTGCTTGGAAGGTTTCGACGACCGCACCTTCTCCACCTGGAAGTGGGGGAATTAATGCTGAACTCAACTTTGCTGGACTTGAATCTGTCCTGGCGAGGTCCTCAGGTGCATTGGTAGAGCAAGAGGAGCAAGAGTAGGCAATTGGATGCAATTGGAGACTTTGAGGTATGAGACCGCGCGGTACTTTGCCTCCTTCCACCCCAGCTCTGTTTGCAACTTGGGCCATTGGCCACCCATCATGCTGCATTGCGCTGCCTCTGAGGTGAAACTGCCCACGGTGCACTTGCCACGTGAACCGCCAGTGACTCAGGCTGCTCATTGCCGTTGAAATGTGAGACCGACCAGTGTCGGGCCTGGGTGGCGATGAGGCCTCGTCCACAGCCAAATGCCAACTACATGGTTTCAACCTCACAGCCATCCAAACCATCTCAGATGCTTGGTTTTGATTGTATAAGATGCAAGCCCTTGGCCGCCCGGGTGCTTTTTCGAATGTTGTGAGGGTGACACGGGAATGGGTTCAGACATGCTCAGACCATCTCAGCATGCCTCAAAGTGCTACCAGCATGTCCTGTGCCTGTGCGAAAGTGCATGGTTCGCAAAGACGAGGACACAGACCTACGATGAAGAGGAGTGCATCCAGTTCAATGAGCAAATGGACATGCACAGCGCCAGGGAACCAAGAGGATGCAAGCTGCGTAAGTTGCAGGTTTTAGTCATTGCTTCCAGCCAAGAAGAGTGAATAGCTAGCTGAGTGCCAAAGCATTTGTGCACAATTTGGCCCTTGGCCTGACAAGTGCATTAGTTTCCCTCCCTCAACGAGTGGTTTTTCTCATAGGATTGATTGAGCACGTTTTCGAACTTTGTTGAGCTGAACTGCTTTATTGAAATTAAGTTGGCCAAATTGGCCGAGGAAAGGGCGGAAACTGGAACATTTCTCCCCATGACCGTTCCTACTTCGCTAGCACTACATTGGTAACATTATATGTTCAGTCAGAATCTCCCTGCTTGTGAGGAGCGGCTGGATTCACATTTCCTTCTTTTCCTTTGGTGCTGCAAGACTTCCATGCTGAGCGAATCCACCGTGGGAAACTCAGTGAATGGATCGGATCGACACTTTGAAGATGCGACATCATTTTACATTGTTTGAGGCTCCACCTTAGCCGCACGTAGAAACCAGATGGGTACCCAAAACACCACCACTCATAGACCATCAGAATCATAGACCTATGAGTTCCCACAGGATGTGCCTGCCCATTAGACCAGACGGATCAGAATTCAATCACATTCAATCTCTGAAATCAAGTCCTGGATGTGATTGGATGGGAGGTGCTTCTAGGCTATCGGCCGCTGCCCCTGCGAGACCTGGAACTCCATTCGCGTGGAAACCTGAGAGATGGCAGACCCTTGTGGAAGGTGATGGTGGACGTGCGACTGGCTGATGCTGGTAGCACCTGCTTGGCCTAGTGGCCGTGCAAGCACTTTTTGAAGGTATCCGGCATCAGTTTCTGCTTTAGCTGGTCGAGAGGGGCGTCAGTCAAACTCCAAGGTTGGGCCACGTGGGATATCGCGGACATGGCTTCTGGTCAGGAGCTTGCCCAGCTCAGCCTACGGATGGATGTAATCGCGCCGTCGGGGCACCTGGAAAGGTCACAGGTAAGATAACCGGAGCCATGGCCAACTATTTTGTGCAGTCTGGATCAAAGGGATGACAGCAAGTCGTCCGAGCCAATGGACTGAATCCAGTTGGAATAAAGATACGGTAACAAACAAACAAGATGGCAACCATGTACGCCTCAGGGAGCTTCGGCAAATTGTCATTGCAGGCCCAGTGAGATCCAACTGCCTCACCTATCAGATGTTTCTGAGACGGGGTCCCTTACTCAGTGCTGTGGGTACAAAAATCATAGGACCTCTCAAATTCTAGCGTGTGATTTGTACTCACATTTGTGATACACCTGTGAAGGGGGTTTGGCAGATTGAGGCTTTAAAACTAAAGGGCTGCGCACACTCCTTTGAAGTGTGCACATTCCATCGAACGTATCCGAACAAGAAGGGAAGGGGCAAGTTGTGGAGTGCGGAGCTCAGGTTCACTTTGAATTGGAGTGGCGGCCTGAGGGCACACGCCAATGGTACAGTAGCTTCGGTCTCTAGGAGAAAAACAGAGAAACAATGATGATTAGCTCTACAAAGCTTTGCAAGTATATAAGTGGTTCAAGCTGGGAAGACAAAGGTGAGCCTTTGGGTGCAGCATCAACTGCCTACGCCGTTCGAGCCCAAGTGAGAACAGATAGAGCAAGAATGCTCCTAGTAGTAAGGCCGGGAGCCCCTAGCAGCGTCCTTGCTCCTAGTAGCGATGCCCTTTGCTACTAGTAGCGATGCCCTTGCTACTAGTAGCGATGCCCTTGCTCCTACCTCAGATCGTGACGAAAATAGGCACCTCCTTTGGCTCCTTTCAGGTTTCGGTGCGGCTGGCGGATGGTGCTGCAGCACGGTGACCGAGTTCCCAAGTCGTGAGTTGCATGTCACCCAAGATGTGAGCTGAATTCTGATTACTTACTTGGTTATCTATCCCCTGCAAGGCCTTGTCCAGGCAGCTTACCACTGGCCACTCTGCTTCTTTGAGTGGATTACAGTCGGGTCCTGAGTGAAACATCCAACAACCAAAAGCATACTAAGTGCTTGTACATTTTTCATGATTTACACGTGGCATGCAGGACGGAGTGGGCTAAAAACTTGAGACAAATTTGCATGGCCAAAGTTCAAAGGGATCTGAAACGCATCAGTCTCAGCGGGTTGTCGTCAGTTTCGGGTTGTTACGAAGCTGCCAAGGCCCGGCACAACCTATGTCGTTGATGTGAGGGCCATGAACCAGGCCACGCAACTAACTATAACTAACTAGCAGTTACTAGCAGAGTTATGGGTGGCTTGCCTTGATTATTTTTTGAAAGTGCTTGGGGTCTCTTTTGCCATAAATTGAGAACTCCAGTCGCAAACGGCGTGGACACCATTCGCGGTTCCAGGCTGGATGGGGTGACAGCTGCAAGCTGGAAGCCTCTACCGCATTTGTGCAGGCAGCAGCCTTTCGAATCATACACAGAGATCGGAGATCAACAAGTGCATGGAGTTCCATATGCTAAACCTCTCCGCCGCACACACCACACCCCATCCAGACAGAAACTACTATGAGACTATGAGCAATGACCTAGCTGGCCAGGCCCGGGAGAAGTCTAGTGTGACGCACTTGTGACCCGCAGTGATAGCGCCAAACTACATGGACCTTTGAAGTGGACACTTGCAACGGGAGTCACCACAATGATCCTAGGCCCTAGAATCCTATTGCGCCCTATATTATGCAGAAGAGACTGTTGGGAGGACCCCGGCCAGTTGTAGCGTTGTTCGGGCTGCCTTTGCCCGAACCCATGTGGGACAGGTATAGGCAACTTTCGCAGTGCCATGCCGTGGAACATGTCTTGTTGTGGCTGTCAGAAACATGGACGAACCAATGGTTCCTGTTTGTGTTGTTTCTGCCATTTATATAGCACAAGTTGAGCGTAGCCCGTTTGTCAGAAACCAGTTTCCCTCTTCGCCGTGGACCTGACTGTGCATAGCTGACCTTTGGTTTCCATGTGGGCATCTTGATGCTCATTGTTGTCGTCCTCCTTGGAAATCGGGAGGGCTTTCACATCGGGCGGGCCAGAGAAGCGAGTCAGTACTGGCACCACACAGTTGGCTGAGCGAAGGCAAGCAGTATATAAGGGCAAGGGGTGCATAGAAGCCGGTCAGATTACTGCAAGAGCAAGTCTGCACACACACAGAGACCAGATAGTCGCCACAAATTCGCACTACATGCACGCATGGAAAACCACATGATGTGCTTTCAACATCTTTTAACCATTGATGCGCTTGTTGTTCTTGTGCCGAGTCCGCTGGTTCATATGTATATATATAACGGTTTCTCAGTTCCTCAGCGGGATACACAGGTAGCTGACATGTACAACCAAAGGAATGACAACGCATGATTTCCTTGCGTAGATGCCCATGATGGATTTAGCATCTGCCTGATTCAAAGATGAGACCCGCCCTGCGTGGTCAAGTCAGCGCAGATTCCTGCAATTCTTTTTCTCTTTTGCCTTGTGTCCGGGGGCTTGTGACAAAAAGGTCTCCGTTTCGTTACTTTTGACGTGTCCTGTTGTCGAACGCCTTAGACATCCAGCTGATCATGATGCTAAGAAAGTTTCCAAGACCTGCACGCTGGCCGCGGGCTTCAGACAAAATGATAAGAGCAAAACTCAAAGAAGTGTGCAGTCCAGACATGTTTCAGTCAATGTCCCAGCCTCTCCACTGCTATCAATTATAGACTTCTCAGTTTCTGGATGTCACATCGCTTCCCCTGAATCCGCATGTACCACACTTTGTAGTTCCCACAACTGCTTGGGAGCGCCTCGGCCCCATGGGGCTCTTGGACTAGAGATTATGACTTCAAGCTGGGCCCAAAGCTGGCCCAGCCTGCAGGACAACTTTTTGTCAAGTTTTGCGTGATACCTTGAAGTGAGAAGGACCAGTTTTCAATGCTCTTGATATGTAAGATTATGTAAGTACTGCGCGCCGTCGCGCCGCGCGCCTACAATGATCAAAAGACAAGCTATGTTTGCTCCTGTGTTGATTCCTGGGCAGTTGTCTGAGCATGGGGACAACAATTGAGTCCAGATGTTCCAGCAACTGTTCCAGTTAAGCAGGCTAATCTAGCCAGCTAATTATGAAGCAAGATGAAATAGGCTGCCATTGCAGCTTCTCGTACGAGGACACCGATGCCAGATAGGCATTGATGTGGGCCCTTCGCTCATGGCTTAGCATTGCCAATTTCGGATTCAATCATGTCCGCAGACTGCGGAAACTACGTCCATGTTTGTTTGCCCTTGAAGGCAACACAACAGCGCAGCAAAGACAGGCAAGTCATCAGGTGAGAGTCTCTCGAGAGCTCCATGTGGCTAAGGTCAGGGATGGAGCAGTTCTTTCTTTATTGGGAAGCCTGTGTCTTGTGCCGGTACAGAGAGGGGTTGTCTCGTCACACATGCACCATGTTCTAAGTGCTGCGAGTTTTCCCGTGGAACTTAATGAAACCTTGGGCAGGCAGACGAAAGATACGAAAAGGGAAGGCAAGGTGGTTGCCGCTTGTGGCTTGTCACATTAAGGCTAGCGGCGAGTCGCGCTCCAGGCGCAAGGTGTGATCCTGACGATGTGTGGAAAGTGGAAGCTAAGTAGCTGAAGCATGTTGAACTGAACAATGGATTTACTGATTTTACTGTGTCGGGATTTAGGCAGGAAGGTTTGCTCGACTCAGCTGGTAAATGGACTCAACCTTGAGGAGCTGGGTTCCACAGCATGCTCAAGCACACGAGGCAATGCCATAGATTCCATAGATGTTTGTCGCACTACTTTGCTCAACATTTTAAGGACCGAGGAGGATGCATGACACCAGATACCCACACAGCCGCCCAGGGTCATGCCTTCACCAAAGCACAAAGGTCACGGAACATGCAGTTTGCAATTGCTTGCGGCATATGTGCGGGCAAGAGCACAAGCTTGAGACTTTGTGAACGTCGCGCATGAAGCGAGCGCCATGGCGAAGCATGCGGCGTCATCTGCGCCCAAGCAGTGGCATGATATGCCTGGTGTCCATGCAGATGCTCTTTGTGCCTCGGGTAAGGGCACCACAGGACCCAGAATTCTTCTATCACACAATGCAGCGAGCATATTATGCTCGTCACCCAGTAATGTACAGCCTTTTGTGTATGGACCGGCGTGTTTTTCTATGCATTGCAGACTTGAGCCCACTCCAACATCGAACGGAATGC